TTCCAACCAAAATTATTCTAAGATTCACATTCATGAACTTCAAGAGAAACATTACCTTGCCAGGTCTAAAAAACACCTTGGTTAGCCCAAATTTGTAATCATTTTCATTCAGTCCCAAGGCTTTAAAAAGTGCCTGAAACACAGGAAACAGTTAGGATTATATTCTGCCTTCTTCAAAAAAAACTCCCCAAAAGTTCAAAAAACACAACCCTCCCCCCCTCCCCAATACATCTGCTGTCCTGGATGATACAGAAGAAGAATTAATTTCTTTCCTACCTTGCAAAAGAGCCTGGGATCCAGTCGAGCCAATTTTTCAGGCAAGTATTTCTTGTACATATTATATAGTTCATGAAATGAAGCTCGCGAAGGGAAACCACCTTGCATCAAATCCAGAACTGACACCATTCCTAAATTTATAGAAACACAAGTACAAAAGCTTGTATCAGTAAAATGCAAATGAAGGAGTGATTTTTATGATAACCAGTAGTTTATGACATAAGCCTCAAAGACATTGTTCAGAGATCAAACCACAAAGTTCAGCTGGGGCTTGATCCAGCCTCTGGCATTTCTTGGTCATGTGATCATTCATAAAAAGTTAATGCTGAACATATGAGAAGAGCCCATACAATTTTTTCCCTATTTGAGAGGTAACACCCAATCATGCAGAGGATTTTTTTTCTAATATTTCTTCTAAATATTTTTTCCTTTTTAGCAGACTTGACATTTTCATTTTTAAAGGAAAAAAAAACCAAACACATAAATAATGCCCAACCAGGCTTTTATTTTCATCATGTCAACGATATTTGTCAGATGTGGCACAGATGCAACATCAAATCCATATGCAGTGCCAGAACATGTAGTGCACTTCGAGTACTAAGTATCAGCTGCTGAGATACAATTTTAATGTCCCAAATACTGTTACTACATTTTGGCTGCAACCAGGACATCAGTAAAGCACAGACCCGAAGTCAGTAAAAGGTTCAAATTACTTGAAGCAGCACAAGCCATGCCAGTTTTTGCCCACTGCTTTACATAACCCTGTCAACAGATTTTGTATATAAGTTTTTAAGTTAGCTCTTAACTTGTGCTTGCTGTCTTTAAACTTAATCCTTTGCATATTTGCTTTCAATGGAAATGTGATTTGTTTACCCTAAGTCTTTCTTTTTCAAAAAAGATTTTATAGCATTAACATCTTGCTCTTTTAACACTACACGTTATAACTTTGTTTTACTAGATAAAGCTTCATTTACTGTTGCTAAAGTAAGTACATATGGAAAAGTGAGCTTGTAAGACTACTGTAAAACATTGCAGTTGTTGGAGGGGAGTAATCTGTTATTTTTTACTCTCCGACATGCCAAATGCTGTTAACCTGAAAAAACCTACTACTAATGATGTTAACGGAATTCTAATTGCTGAAAAGTTGTTAAGCTTTTGTGATGACAACATGACGTGCTCAACATGTGGGCTTGTCAAAACATCAACTGCAGAACCTGGAAGTATCTTAACTTCAAAATGAGAAAAAATTAAGCACAAGCTACTGAAAGTACAAAAATACAGAAAAGGGGAAAAAAAAAATAAAAATGGAAGTACTTTGGTGAACAAACACCCTAGGAAGATCAACAATACCAGCACTCCAGTTCCCAAGCAAGCAGTTCTTTCCGCTGTTCAGTGGGGTATGAGCAAAACTGTTAACATTCACTGTTTAAAATAAAGCTGTAACATTGGAAAGTGCCTAGCATTTCAAGAAAAATGAAAATGCAGCACTGCAATTTGTAGTATACAAAGCAACAGGAAAGACTATGCTGAAGTGCCCTTGTTCGAAGTTCAGCTCCAAATCAAATTAACAGTGGTATAAAGGAATTTTGAAAAAGTAAACCAACACAATTCAACTCCATCATAGTATCTATAAAACTAAAGAAAATAGGTGTGCTTCAATTATTAGATATCTCAGCTAATACTGACTGTCTCTAAATGCACACAGGTTTCTAACACTTCAACTGCCGCAGTAATTTAAAGGAATTCTATTGTTCTGGACTCACTGCTGCCCTATTAACACTGTGCGCAACACAAAAGAGATAGGATTCAGCTCCAGGTCAGGAAATCTAAATTTATGTACCAATATATGGCTACCTGGCTTCATACATATGCACCTGGTGTCTGAACTCTCATAATCAATGGAAAAACAGTCGAGGGAAATGACATCAACTCTTCTTGCGAAGAAGAGACCTTATGGCTGTTCAGATGAACTATTTCTAGGGTTCTATTGACTAAAATGAGAGCCAAGTTACTAAGAATCTAAATAACTGTTCATAAGGCATAAAGAAGCTACTCTCTAGAAAGCAACAGTTCAAGCAAGGAAATATTGCTTCCATCTCACATATTTCAAACTTAGGTCAATCTATAATGCCCATAGTAATAAACAGAGGGAAAAATATCAGAGGCATACGTTACCTGAACACTGAAGCTGAGAGAGGATCTGTCCTCCTTCAAATTGGTGATTTGTCATCTTTAAGTTAGGCTTGATACAGCGAATAAAGCTAGACCCCTAATACCAAAACAAGAAGTTAGCAAAATCTACACATTTTTAAACCTCCTCAAGTTACAGTTAGTTGTTTAAGAATTATGGGTAGAAAAAAAATACACAAAATAACAGTATTCTAAAACAGAAATGTTGACATTCATTTTCTCTCAGGTATCAGTTTTGCACTCTAGCCTTGGTCTTGATGTAACTGACTGACCTCAATGCTCAAGCTATTAATTGGATTCTCAACTTCTGAGTTTTCACTCAACTGTTCTTCTTAACATTAATACAATCTAATTGTGATGTAGCAGTCCAGATTCTACTACCTTCGTTATCTTCTAGTCACATCACCTAAATGCCTCAGTCCTCCAGAGTTCACATCAGCCTCCTGACATTGGAATCAGACCAGATGAACCTGACTTTCCTTTCTTCTAACTTATACAGTTTCTTTTGGCTCATGGATTCACTCTCCCTTCCCCCATGTGTGCTATATCTCTACAATTTTGATCACTGCTTTCTCTGATCATTTCAAATCCATTAAGGATGATGTTTTTGCAAAATGCCATCCAATTATTTAGATTTTCCTATAACAGGTGGCTGCTAATGATAACCTACCTCATACACTAAAACAAAATGGGGACAGAGAAAACATAGTATTACTCCTTGTTTGCAGTGTCTTCTCTCTATTTCAACCTCTCAGCTAAGAGTGAGAGAGGACCTGCCAAGGGAGCTCTATATTAACAGCACATCCTCAGTCATGGGTTAGCTAAATTCAGAGTATAGCAAGCCTGGCCACATACTTTTTCCTTGGACTGGGCCTCAGTTTCAGCATGTTCTGTGTGAAAAAGATCATCTTTCTTTCAGACCAGCCTCATGAGTACAGTAAAATCTTAATGTCGGCTACATTCCAGCACCTGTGCCATTTGTTTATGTTTTTCCCCCTTTTTCTTTTTTTGACAGAGCATAACCTCATATCTAGAATTGGTTAGAATATGCAGTCAAGAGAAAGAACAATGTGTTCCTACAAGTTCTAAAAAAAAAAGGGGGGGGGGGGGGAAAAAAGCCCCACATCCAAACCAAAAAGACCCTTTGAACTACATGCTACATGGAGAATTTCACAAACTATCAAATTAGATCAGCTAAATTAGCAAATACTTCTTAGGGAAATCAGGTTCTCTGACCATCTGTGCATTTACAGCCTATCACAAAAGAGAAATTAAACATTTTATTTTTAATGGCTTTATGGAATCTGAAAACAGTAATTAATAACAAATTATCATCTGCCTTCCTTCTCAATAACACCTCCAAATCTTCTGCATATTAGTCATCAATCATAACCAGTGAATGGAAGGAAGTAAAAGTGACAAAAAAGGAGATTGCAGCCCAGGCAGATTTCATATTGTTTACTGAAACTGTGTAACTTTCATTCTACAACAACTCTTTTAAAGATGGTGGGGTTTTTTTTAAAGTAACTCAATAATCATCACTTGCACAGCAAGACGTTTCAAAAGCGCCATATAACTGCAAACTCTAAAGTAATTCCTTATCACACTTATTGTAAGCCGTATTGTTGAGATAATCGATTATGACTTGTGTCAGAAAATTACGACCCTGCACCTGTATATATACTTACAGTACTGTGAAGCTTCTCAAGAAGCAAATTTAACTGAGTCTGTAAAAGAAAACAGGTATTTCAAGAGTCTTACCATGACAACTACAGAAATATACACACAGAATAGTGCATTACTGCATGCATGTTGATTGTTAGTAAATCAGACAGGATTGATAAATCAAACATTCACAAATTTTAACAGACAAAATCATGCAAGTGTGCATGAATGGTCCTGAGAAACTGCTTGTGTTTAATTGTACAACAATACTGTATGGACTAGTCACTTACTACAACATAATTATCAAAAAAAGCGCAAGCCCTTTTGAGAAAATAAAGGAAATAATGGTTATGTAATAAAATTATAAGGACATGAAGACTGATCGGCAATAATTTTAAAAGAATACACTGAAAATTTGTGAAAACCCAAATTTAATCTATAACAAGCATACATTTGTATGTTAAATAATTAACACAGAAAACAGATATGCTCAGGGTTTTCTTGGTTTTTTTTGAAGCTAAGTCAACATTTAGGTGAATGAACCTGCATAATCTATTTTTAATTCCAAACTTCCAAATTTTTAATTCTCTGTTTATGACAATAGACTATAATTTTAAAATCACATTTACTGAGGCTGCATTTAAACATACTGTGATGAGAAAAGATCAGTCCTATGATCTTAAGGCTATCAGGGAAAACGAGTTACAGTTGCTACTGAATGTAATTGGTAGAGATAGAACTACATCAGGAAAACAGCTATACCTTGCCTTTACAGATGTGTCTGTTTTACCACATAGATTACTGCTGTGCCAGCCTTTCTAGTTTACTAGCAAGCTTTAAGTACATACACTGAAGTAAGACAAAATTCTGTATGTCCTAACATGTTCCTCATTTTCTGTACTGAATGAATCTGACTTTTGACTAATGTTTTTTTAACCAGATCTTTCAATTACCTTGAATCCAAGAAACCAGATTTGTATGGGGAATGTGTGTCACCTACAGCTGTCAGTTGTCCTTTCAGTGGATAAAATTGGTTTGCTTTTTTTTTTTAACTTATCATGGATATGGTTTGAAAGAGAGGAGTGCCGCAAGAGGCATGACAAACACTAATAACCTCCTGCTCAGTTCTCACTTACACATGCTCTTTATTATCTCCACTTGATATAATCTTTATGTCTTCTTAAGTTAGAAATGCTTAATTTTGGAAGGGACAGCCTAATTTCTATCAACAAAATACATTTCTGCTAGAGGAAAAATACCCCTTCCTTATACTCTGTGATTTGACAAAAATAAGCCAGAGCCATTCTCAGGTAAATGTCACTAATGAAATGATGATATGAACAAAATATATTGCTAAAACTACCGCTCTTTGAATTATCACTATTTAATCCCTCATTACCATAGCAAGGTAAAATTATCCCAAAGATTCTTGAGTAGATCTGATGAACTAATTAATCATTATTTCTTCAATTGATTTATGAGAATTAATTTTAATTAGTTATAAGGAAGGGATGTGTGAAGGCTTTCATAAAGAGAAGTCCCTGCAACTTCATCTAATAATTGATGCAATTAGAAGGATTTGAGACTGACTTATATACTGACGCACTAAGAATTCTTATTCTTAAAGATATGAAATTTCTACTAAGGTAATAGAATTTATTTTGATGTCACCTGAAGTGAAATTTTCAAGGCTATTAGTGTTCATCAGCAGCATGTGTTGTGTCTGGGAAGGTAACACTAAATGAATTACTGGAAGTAACACATACACTCAAAATGCCATGAAACTTGAAAACACAGAAAGAATTAGAGATCAATGGGCCAGATCCAAAGAGGACTTTAGTCATGTTCTAGGTGCAGAGGTGAATACCAAAGTCCAAAAGGCAATCCAAAAAGTTCCCCAATTAATTGCTGCTTAACTTTAAAAATGCCTCCCTTTCCACTCCAGCCCTCCCTGGACAATGATATCATTCACATATCCACATCTACTGGATGCATGGTGCTAAATCCAAGCAGAATTGAAAACCCAGATGGAAGAAAGCAGAAACTATCTCAAAGATCCCACAGTCGGTTTCGTTTCGAAAATGCAGTTCTAAAAACCAATGGATCCTAGCTTCACCTACAACAGACTCACGGTTGCAGGGTTTGCTAAGGAAATGGCTTATCTGCCTGCAATTCCATTTTTCAGTCTGCCTTCTGATCATGCATTTTATATTAAACCAATTTCAAAAGTTTCATTCTACAGCCATTACATAGTAAGAAGATGGAGGAAAATAACCATCAGAGCAAAACTCAGGAGAGCAGGCTGCCCAATTCCCAGTTAAATACCAAAACCACTACCTTAAGTCAGGCTCTGTCTCCTACTCTTCCTGGCCCCATCAAAATTTTATTTCTGGCTACGTAACAACCCATCTCCAGAAGGGTATAAGGAGAATTCCCTTTGTCAGACTGACCAATAAGTTGATGTTACAGGCAATGCAGTAGACATAAAACTCTGAATCCAGTACACACTTGAAGCAGAATACTACTGCTATACCAAAAGCAAGTGCTGCCACCATATCCCTTCTGTTCTTCAGCCCCTGCATTTTTAGAGAACAGTTCTAAACGCTAGCCACAAAATACAACTATGCAAGAAGGAATTTATCTTGCAGTCCTGATTCAGCACGTAACCTTGACATGGAGCAGGAATGCAGAAACGCTCTTCTGCTATTGGCAGTGCCCCACTCTACAGCAAGGTTTTTGGATTGTCAGAGATCCCTGCTTTCCCCAGGGACTGCATAAGGAGTCTAGCTACGAACACGATGTGGGGTTTTAGGTGTCCTAGGTAAGGTAGCATACCAAAAACGTTGCAGCATTTGACTTGAAGGCATACAAATCCTTCATTGGATCTGGCCCAGATGCGTTGAGAAGAGCTCTTGCTGAAATTGCAGCAGCTCTACCAACAGTAAATCCATGAGATTGAAAAATTTACCTGCAGCCCACAGTTGTGTCTGCTTTTCATCTCTTAATTCCCCTATAGTTCTCTTTCTAGCCATCCTGAGCTGGAATAGTCCAGCTAAAATAAAACTGCTGAATGAGAAAAGGATGCAGAAAACATTTGGAGAAGACAAGGTTTGAAGGTCAGCTTTACAATAAGCAGAAGAAAGGAGAAAACGAGGAGAAGCATCAGATTCAGGTACTGAGAAAGGAAACATTCAGCATAATGAACATCTTTCTGTGAAAGCCATGACTACCTTTATATTTCAGAAGAGGCAAAACAGTGGTTAGGTTAGGTATTGAATTTTGAGAATGGCAAAATGTAGCCAATTGATACATCCTCTAGAATGTACAATTAAGATAGGATGGAAGAACACCTTTTGTCACATTTAGAACCCCTCAGAGTCCACAGAATTCAAATTTAGGTCTCAAGACTTTAAACCTTTTGAATAAAGACTTCCACATGGCTTTGCAAAATTCTGACTTAAAAACTACTGTATAATCTCTGTAAGGACTATTATGAAACATCTTTTTGACAGAAACGCATAGCACATGGCTTGAATATACTGGTTTCTTATAATACAATAGAAAAAAGGTCTATTTAACAAAATTTTCTGTGTCTGAATCTCAAGTTACCACTAGTTCTCCCAACCTTAGGCTCTACTTATTTCAGGTAACTTAAAAGTGGCATATATTACAAGAAGATAAGACTCTTTGCTATATTATGTTACCTTGAATTTGTTTCCCACACTGATGAAACTAAGTTTCCCAGCTTTTTGTTTGGAATCCTTGTTGTTGTTAGTGCTAGATTCAAACAGCTGTCGAACAAACTTGTCCTTGGATTCACATATAAGAGATTCAAGGGACATGTGCAAAGCATCATTGTTTTTTTCCACAAATTGCATCTGAAAAGACAACCCAAGAAATAATAGCACATTTGTTTCAGTGCCCCAGTTACTTAAGTCTTAAAGAAAATTAAAGAAAATGAAGATACACACTTAATTCAAAAATCAGCAAGAATATGTGGGGCAAATATTCATACATTATTTCAAATGACTTTTCAACTGGACACATAAAACATTAATGACAAAGAGAAGAGATATTCTTAAATTTGAAGGATGTTGCTGGAATCATGAAAGCCAAGGTAAGGATTAGTGCCTTTTAAGAGATTAGTTGTGTTTTTGTCAATGATTATCCTCCTTGTTCCCATCTCCAGCATTCAGTACATCATCACTTGGGAGTTCTGAGCAGCTTAATTCTTCACTGCTTGTAATATCACTTAAGATCTGTTGTGAAATCGGAATTAACATGCACACTTTAATTGGTGCATCAACACAGTTTGGCAAACAAAATGAAAAAATGGTTACTTTAGTAGTACTATGACTATTTAAGAACAGTTGATTTAATACAAGATATTGTCCCTTCCTACAAATCTTACCTCTCTGGTTTATTTAAATTGGCTCACTAACTTTTAGAAGTTAAGAACAATACACTACACTGAAATTCAGAGATCAAGACGCTAGCATCCAATTTCACACTAACAAAACTCTCAATAGCTTTTAGTGTAACTTTAACAGGGACTTTGATATTTATGAACAGAAGAGGTCGAGACTAATTTAAAGAAAATACGAATTTGACAGATACCCCATAAAAGGATTTAATGGTGATGAGAATCGAAGGACAAATACAGGCCTCCAAAATTCCCTTGGACTATGAAAACACAAGACCGGAATACAAATGATGAGCATCCTCACAACAAATCAGATTGTGCGAACTGCCACAAGTGCAGTGAGAAAGAGAAACAAGTAACAGGTGAGGTACAAGGCAGCTATAGTCCAAAAGTTTTAAGGCCCAAGCTAAGTAAGTCCCTCTGAGGGAGGGGATAAATTAAGTTAGGCATATTAGTATAGCTTCTGGACCAAAGCTACCTCCTATCTGATTAACTCTGACAGCAGAGCTTACGTGTTCATATCTGGCTCCTCTGTTCCTGAAGACACTCTAAGGTATTATTAACAAATCATGAGGAGGTACACAGTTATACACAGAGCACTTGGAACAAACGTGTTCCAATTTTATTTATTTATTGACTCGCTGAGAGACCACAGAAAAATCTGGTAGGTAACACACAGACTTCAGTTTTCTTGCTTGTAAAATGACCTACAGAATGTGCCTACTTCAGAATAGCACAACAACCATTAACATTCTTGGAGTATTCTGAAGTAATTAAGAACAACCTCTTAAAGTACACATTTTCAAATGACAAAAAACACCTTTGAAAGTAGCTTCCCTCTTACACACTGGAGTTACAGACCAGAACAATGAAGCGTTATGGATCTCCTGACTATCCTAAACTCTTATTTAAAAACAAAACAAACAAACAAACAAACAAAAAAAAGGCTTTTGGATACTGGCTTCAGGTGTTCCACAGTATTTTTGTATGATGAAGAGCCAAAAAAGTACAAGACTCTGGAATGTATTTTGAGGGTAGCAATTTCAGGTATTTCGTATTCTTACATGAATGATTTTGTTTGCCAGTAGAAATGGAAAACGAAAAGAATAAAATGTGATTCTTATATAACATAAATAGGGATTGCATACAAGGATAAGCATGCTTTCAAAAAGCTACTTTTAACTCTAACAATACTTTTATATCACGTAGTGTATGCCTCTCCCCAAGATGCAAATGTCTGTTGACGTAAGATTTGCAGTAGATCATGAATCAATATATTTAATATTGACACCACTACCTATAGATTTATAACAAACTTACACAAAATACATGTCACCAAAGTAGTCTGTAATCTGAGAAGTTAAAAGAAACTGTCAATTCTGTCACACATGCACAAAAATTGTTTCAAAGCTAAGAC